TATAAGTAGGTAAATTCATATCCCCCGAATTAATCAAATAAATGCCGTTTTTAGTGGAATGACCTCCATAGGCAACATACGTGGCTTCAGGAAGTGTAACTTTTTTTTGAGCATTGTGTCCCTATTGGAAAGCTGTAGAATATTGTAGCTTTTATACCTGTAAATGTTCCAGGCAAACATTTCCTTTTTTCTTGTAGGTTTTTCCATATTTTCAAGGCGTTTATTTTTTGAAGTATATGTCTATTTGTTAGTTCATAGGTAATCTCATGAGCGTTTTTTTTGGTCCAGGGTTCTATTGTCAAGCAAACTGCTCTAAGAAAATTTGCAAACGTAGTCTATGCTCGGCATAGTTTGTTATCTCCTGTTTCTATATTGAGGTGAAGCATGGTGTTGTGGTTTTTTTTTCGCTCTGTCAGCACAACCCTAAATGACGTGAACCTTTGTACAAGCCTGTAGCTTCAAATTTTCGTTTAATAGTTTCTATGAATCTCCGAGCTTATTGTTGGGGGTAGCGCGACATCTCTGCGCTTATTCTTGGGGCTAACGCGCTCTATAGCAAACGGGGCTGAATGATCGCTTAGACAACAAATTTGCCCTCTTTCACCACGTTGACCCGCGGTTTTATGACTGTGTTAAGCATTCGAGTTCCAAGAAAAACCTTCAAGGGCGAGTCTATTTCTTTTGAGCGAAAAATCCACTCTTCTCCACAACCTAATATATTTTATGATGCGAGCAGCGCTTCAAAATGTAGTGTCAAACAGCTAGGGAGGTTAATACTGCTGTTTGTTAACTTTCGTACTCGGGACTCTGCGTGGACTTGGTATGTTATTATGCTTGTCAGAACCGGTGTGCTGATCACAAATGCTCTTCAACTCAGGTACCTTGTTTTGTTCTGAAAAAAAAGCGAAAAAGAAGTTTTAAATTAGTGCTTGTTTTCCTTCTGCCTTACAGGTTGTTAAAATGGAACTTATTTATTCGGTCGACGTTTCGAACAACTCGTCGTCTTCAGGACCTGAAGTCGGTTGGAAGTTTTAGCTTGTAATTTACCCGGTTAAGGTAAATAGGTAACAGCCTGTATGGCAGAAGAAAAACAAGCAATATTCTCAACATGCTCAGGTTTCATGGAATTTCAAATTAGTTCTCGAGTTCTGTCGTTCCACTTCCTGTCATACACTTTTCTCCCTTTCATTTCCTCCCTTTCATTTCCTCTTTAAGGCCGATGTCAGACTTTGCGAATCGCGCGATTCGCTAGCGTCCGCGGTCGCGTTGCGGTACCAGCCAATTGAGTGATTCACTGGCCGCGACGCGACCGCAGACGCTAGCGAATCGCGCGATTCGCAAAGTCTGACATCGGCCTTACATCATAATACTTGCTCATTTTTCATTCAATCCAATCATTTTTGTAGGCAGTGTTGATCACAATGCGGCTTTTTAAAGATTATTTTACATTCGTTCTCAAAAATTCCTAAATCCAAATACCTATGGGCTATCTTTGGGGACCTTGCACATACCCCAGCGAGCTTTTTGTAAAACTAAGGCAGAAATCGCGCAATATTATCAGGATTTAGAAACTATTAGACACGTTATTGGTTTATTCGCCATGTGCAACCTTGAACTGAGGCGGGTTGAGAAATCGCTTAAATCATCGTCTTTGTGTTTCTCTACGTCAGCTTTGCTCATAAAACTCTTGTAGTGAAATTTCTCGTTAAATATTGTGTGAGAAATTAGT